AAATATTCCTATTATTAGAAGATATATATGTCTTTTAATAAAACAATTATGTGATTTATATAAAATAATTTCTCGGGCTTTTTGGTTGGATGTGAAGGAAATACTGTGAATAAGTGATATCCAATGCAAGGTCGTATTGAACTAGCGGGGGCCTATGGGCGCACAGGAAGCTTGGGGCCACACAGGGCTCTATTTACCTACATGATAAAGACAGAATAGACCTAAACTTCCGCGATTTTCACCTTTCAGAAATAGGTAATGGGGCGTTTGGTTTATAGAAGTGAACAAACAGACAAACCTGTCAGTTTGATCTTGAATTGCATGTGGAAATAGCTTTTGCAGAACTGTACTTCAAATTTCACATCAAATGAACCCTGCTTATTTCAATTTTTGATGCTATTTAATCATACAGGCATTAAACTGCTATGAAATCCTACAATTATTATGATTTCCTATCAGCCAGCCTGACTGTCGTCATTTATTTGACACTGCATAATCCTAGTAGAATCTGTATCAAGTTTATAGAAGTTGGAGAGAAATAGATGTATGCTAGGTGAAACAATAATCATTGTAGGTACCTACATTCACTCAGTAGTTTGTGGTTGGATAATAAAATTAACCATTCTGAATTGGGGACCAATATTTTTAGACTAAATAGACTGTGTTTTTTAATTTTTCTTCATCCCATTATTACAATTTTACCAGTTTTTATAGATTCTATTCTGTTCTAAGGAAAGAGGTTCATATAAATATAGACCTATTTGACATAAGTTGGGGCCGATACCTTATCATATTAGAATATACATACATACATATATGTTGTAAGTAAAGTGAATTTTTTCTCACCGAAAGGTAAATCTAATTCCTTTAGGACAAGTTCAGGGTGCCATCTGTAATAATAATGATTATACACTAGTCTGATCTGGGTTGCTTAAAGAGAAAAACAATGTAATAAGACAAAATATTTATTTCTTATTTTTTTCCTATTGTCAAAGTTTGATTTGAAGAGACTGCTTTTGAGTTTTAAGTAATTACAAATAAATATTAATCATTGATTAACATACTATATACTACTTGGTAGAATATACCAATCAATGTTATGATTAATTTTAGTATACATACATCATATTTGCATTTTTTCAATTCTCTTTTGTAATGATTTTACTACCCTGGCTAGAAAAATAATAATAATAACAATAATGTTTATTGTCACAAAGTACACAAATTACCCAAAAAACTGTGACTTGTGCTTGTGTTTGTTAAAACTAAAAGTAGAATGAATGACTGAACAATGTATATAATATATAATCGAATGAGTTAAATTAATTCAGGCATGTCAGGAGAAATATTCAGACAATTATAAATAAAGTATTTGGTAAAAGTATTATTTGTATGAGAGTTGTGATAAGAAAATATTGTTGACTTTGATTTTTCATGTCTATAATTTCATGAAGTATCTTGGTTGTAGTAAAATCCATTTCATGAAATATTTTTTAAATGATCTAACTGTTCTTATTGCTTTTAATGACTCTGGTATGAAGTTATACAATTTTGGTCCCAAGAAAAAAGAGATCATTGAGTAATGGTTTTTGATGTTCATGCAATACACATTGAACTTTGATTGAATCTTTGTAAAGGGTGTTCAGATAGGGACGCTCGATGTTTGAACGGCGCGCGCGCCCAAACCGGTGGGGATACAGCTGTCAAATTTTGTGAGGTTATTAAGTTAGTCTTGACATTTTAATCATGGAGCAGTACACGATTCAACAACGCGTGGAAATTGTGAAAATTTATCATCAAAACAGATGTTCGGTTCCGCGCATGGCGTCCAATTTATGGTGCGCATGGCCGTCCTGCTGAGTCCACTATTCGACGTCTGCTCAATAAATTTGAGAGAACTGGCTCAGTCGCAGACCAAACAACACCCGTACGGCAACGAACAGTAAGAACAATCGAGAAAATTGCTGCTGTGCGAGAGAGCGTGCGTCAAGACCCGAATCAGTCATTGCGGCGACGTGCACAAGAACTTGCCCTTCCAAAGACCTCAACATGGACAATTATGCGTCGAGACTTGAAATTGCACGAGTACAAAATTCAATTGACGCAAGAATTGAAACCGCAAGACCATGGACAGCGCCGTACATTTGCCGCATGGGCTCTAGAGCAGTTGCAAGTCGACCCTGCATTTGCACGAAAAATCATCTTCAGCGACGAGGCGCATTTCTGGATGAATGGGTATGTCAATAAACAGAATTGCCGTATATGGGCTGACCAAAATCCTGAAGTGACTTGCTCAATTGCTATGCATCCTGCTAAAGTGACTGTATGGTGCGGTTTCTGGGCTGGCGGCGTAATCGGTCCATATTTTTTTGAGGACGCTATGGGCAACGCGCTTACGGTCAATGGAGATCGGTATCGCGCCATGATTAATGATTTCCTGTGGCCTCAACTGGACGATATGGATCTAACAGACATCTGGTTCCAGCAGGACGGCGCTACGTGCCACACCGCACGCGCAACGCTGGATTTACTGCATGAAAAGTTCAACGGTTTCATTATTTCGCGCGGCGGCGATGTGCACTGGCCACCAAGATCGTGCGATATAACGCCTTTAGACTTTTTCCTGTGGGGCTACGTGAAGTCTCAAGTGTATGCGGATAAGCCACAAACAATTGCAGCATTAAGGGCCAACATCATTCGCGTCCTCGGACAGGTAGACGCTGAAATGTGCGGAAAAGTGCGCGAAAATTGGACCATGCGAATGCACGCTGTACAGCGCAGTCGCGGTGGCCATTTAAACGATATAATCTTCCATACATAATGTCGTCGAATGCTATTTACGATCAATATAGACTTTTAGTGCTGACTTAAATTTTTTCCTTTTTTTTCCATTTTAACTTTCGAGCGTCCTTATCTGAACACCCTTTAGTTATTCATGATATGCTTAAAGTGCTTAATATAATAGTTAGAACTAGACCACTATAAAAATAAATTTGTCTGCAACCTAATAGTCAAGCCTCCATAAAGGATAGGTAACCTCTCTTTATGGACGATCAACATAAGAATTATACTAAGTGACATATAAATCCGAACATCAAGTTTAAATGGTTTTATTTTAATAAAAGTTGGTGAATGCATTGATCTTACTGTAAATAACAAGTGAAAAAATTTTCAGCCTTATCAGTTAGACATTTCGGTTTTTATACTGCTTTTTTTTAATTCACTAACGCTCTAAAAATGAATATTTCAGCCGCAGTAAAGAATCAACGTTGGCGGATTTTTGTTCTTGACATCCTTTACGATCGGTTACGATGCCTAGAGTACGGAAACCTGTACGATTTCGTCAACTTAGTGAGTTTGATAGAGGCCGTATAGTGGGACTTCGGGAAGCTGGACTTTCTTAATGATGTCACATTGTTACCATGGCCACCAAGATCTCCCGACTTATCCCCAATTGAGCACGCGTGGGATATGATGGGTAGGAGATTGCTCAACTTGCAATGTCCTCCTCAGACTCTAGGAGCACTTCGAGAGGAGTTGGTGGTTGCCTGGAATGAGATACCACAGGAGGACATTGACCACCTGATCAGAAGCATGCCTAGGCGCGTTGGAGAATGCGTAGCACATCAGGGTGCATCCACACATTATTAAAGGTCAAAGGGCTTTAAAGCAGTGCAATCATTTTGAAATTTTTATCATTTACTTATTATGCTTCATTAAGTACTTATACAAAATTTTATTAAAATAAAACCATTTAAACTGGGTGTTCCGATTTATATGTCACTTAGTATAATTTTTGGATTACAATCAATCTTTTTGTAATTAGGTATCATTCCTAACTACCCCCAAGCCAAAATTCCGTAAAATAGTAGAGGGTAAACCAAACCATAACAAGGATTGTATAGATATTTTTTGTCCAGAATATTGATATTTTTTACAGTAGCTTGGCTAGGCTCATAAGCTGCCATATGGGATTCTTGTCAGGTGGGTGAACCAGGGAAGGTCAGGCTAAAGAAGATGTTAATCTATTTATTTAATTCATGTTGTATTAAACTCTTCTGAATGGCCTTGCAACAAACAAGACTCCACACAAGGCCAATGTAAGAAATCAGTCATTTAACTTAAAACTACAAAATATCTACTCACATTACTTAAACTACCTATAAAGGTCATTCACTTAAATGAAATAGTAAATACAATATTCTCATAAAAAATACTCAATGAATATTACCTTTCACTATCATAAAACTAAGAATGTATTGATGAAAATCTTTTCAAAATAATTTCAATGAGTTTTATATCAATATAAAATATGATGCCAATAACCTTTATAATTTTTATTGAAAAACAACTTAAATCAACCAAAATGGCCTTCTTATGTAAGGCAAACATTTCCCAGATGACATTAGAACCCTGAAATTATAACAATTAAAAAAATGGTGTATTTATTCAAAAACTTTGTTGATTTGCTGTGAGTTAGGATTAAAAATTTAATGTCAACAAGTCAGGGACTGCATTGACTAAATAACAACGCGAGCGACTCGCCATCGCGTCTGTGTCCCTGAATTTGATAGATGTATATGTGAGTAGAAGGAATTTGTCTTTGCATGGTAATAAATACAACTTTAATAATTAGCCTTACCTGGAGTGTGACCTATGCTCCACCCACCTTACACAGGTTTTGTTCAACAAGAGGACCTAGCATTTATTACTGGGAAATCTAGGTAAATATCATTATGTTGATGTTTTTATTCATTTATTTACGAAAATTTGAAGCAGTTTGGTTTTACTGTACAAATAAATATGCACAAGTTAGATGAGAGTAGTAAGAAAATCATGACAGATAAATGGAACAAGATACACATTTGTCTATTTATGCCCGACTTGCTTGTACATATTAAGTTTTCAACAAATCAGTCATGTGTAATAATTATAACTACATCACTAACAATATTTTTATTCTGAAATAAAACTTGTATATACATTACTTAAGTAAAAAATTAGATGATTATTTCTGTGTCACCCAGTTCCTCATCTGTTGGCAAGACCATCTTGGCTGGGTCAATATAGTTTGGATCCACAGCTGGGAGACCAGCAGCCTCTCTTCTTCGTAGCTCCAAATAGGCTTCCCGCTGAGCCCAGCTTGTTAAGTTGTAATCTGGCAAATATGCCATGACAAATCCTCCAACAGTGATACACAAAGTTATGGTGATAAACATGAGCGAATGCATAGCATTTCTGTCGTTTTCTTTGGATTTATAGTCGTAACCATAGCTCACCCAGTTATTTTCTTCGGGACCCTTGGTCTTTGCTTCGGCTGGGTTAAAAGCTTCAGGGGTTGCTGTAGCTGACGGGTTTTTCTTAGAAGTTGATACTAGACGTCTGTTGACGTTGGGAAAGAGTCGTTTTAGAGAATTTCGTAAAATTATGCCTGCCATTTCTGCAATTGTTTAGGTTAGGTTGTTATATCATCGACATTTGACATCTCTTAATCCGATCTTATAGATTCCTGTACCTTTACATACAGTCGCAATATTAAGCTATCATTACTGGCTAACAGATGTCGCTCTGCATTGTTCAAATTAGAAAAACTGGCTGAAGCCAAAACTACTTTTACAATTTACCATATTTGGAATATAAACATTTAAACTATCAGACTAATAAAAAAATATATTTTGTATAACAAAAAAAAGACTGATGTAAAATATATCGGCAACCATTAAACACGTTCTAGTTAATATGGTTGCATAAGCCGTTCAAACGTCACGTGTACCGTCATAATTTTAACCTCAAATCTTTCCATCTTTCATGCTTTCATGTGTAAAATTTATAAATTTGAAATTCAAGTTCTAGTTGATTTGTGAAAATGGGGAAAAAGAAAGTAGGAAAACAGCGAAAGGATAAGTATTATCAGTTAGCAAAAGAGACAGGTAAGTTAGACCCTTTTACAAAAAAAAACCATATTGTTTACATGGTGTTATTGTAGGATTTCGGTCAAGAGCTGCCTTCAAATTGATCCAGTTAAACAGAAAATTCGAATTTCTTCAAAAATCTCGAGTATGCATCGATCTATGTGCCGCTCCTGGAGGATGGATGCAAGTTGCAAAGCAGAACATGCCTTTGTCAAGCATTGTTGTAGGCATTGATCTTTTTCCTATCAAGCCGATTCCAGGATGTATAAGCTTAACAGAAGACATTACGACTGAAAAATGTAAAACAGCATTGACCAAAGAACTGCAGACATGGAAAGCTGATGTTGTGTTACATGATGGAGCCCCCAATGTAGGTAAAAACTGGTTGCATGATGCTTATCAACAGGCATGCTTGACTTTGAGTGCTCTAAAGCTTGCCACACAATTTCTGAGGAAAGGTGGATGGTTTGTTACCAAAGTCTTCAGGTCTAAGGATTACAACCCCTTGATTTGGGTCCTAAAGCAGTTGTTCAAGAAAGTCCATGCTACAAAACCTCAGGCCTCTCGTACTGAATCTGCAGAAATATTTGTTGTATGTCAGTTTTATATAGCTCCAGACAAGATTGATCCAAAGTTTATGGATGCAAAGCATGTGTTTCAAGACCTTGAGATTGAGCCAAAAGGCAAACTTAATGTATTTCATCCTGAGAAAAAGAAAAAAGATAAAGCTGAGGGGTACCCTGAAAATGATTACACTTTGTATCGTAAGCTGAAGGCTTCAGATTTCATTAAACATGAGAATGGAATAGATCTTTTGGAACATGCATCTGAGGTAAGTTTCACCCAAACTTTGAAATAGTGTCTATTCTATAACTATCTAAAACTGTAATGACTCATCGATGTTCACGTAACTACCAGTAGTTGGCTGTTCATAGGCGGGGTATGAATGTTTAACATGGGTGAACTAGATTTGTCACATGCTTAATAATGAGTGGTTTGAAACATATTGTAAGTAAAAAATTTGGGAATTACCTTTATTCATCGTCGCTTCCACTTACATCTGACAGTAATAAACTGTCCCTATCGCTTTCCTCGTTGAAATTGACTATAACTGCTCTATGATGGTGTCGATGTGGTGGTCAAGCTGCCACATTTTTGTTTCTTCCTTCACAACATGACGGATAGCATTCTGCCAAGCTTCGGGCATTACTAGCTGTATGGAAGTCTCAAGTAAAACCTTAACGTCTGGTAATTTGAAGGTTGTGTTATGGCGCGCAATATAACCCTTCACTTGAGCCCAGATGAGCTCTATTGGGTTCAGTTCACAGTGGTAGGGCGGTAACCGCACAGTGACACCACATTGACGGGCCATCTCATCAGTCACGTAACTAATATTTGCAGGTTTGTGCTGTTTAATTTTTTCATACAATTCCGCTTTCACACATGAATCGTCAAACGGGATTTCTTTTTCGCGCAGCCATTGCTACATGTCACTTTTTCGAGATCCCATAGTCGGTACACGTTCGGCTCGACGACTATGGTAGGAAGCATTATCCATGACGATCACAGAGTTGGGCTCAACTCGCTGAAGCACCCCTTGAAACCAGCTCTCGAAGCAGCTGGCATTCATTTCGTCATGGTAATCACCTCCTTTCTTAGAGACGAAAATCAAGTCACACTCTTCTAAAAAGCCACTATCGCTACCAATATGAGTTATGATCAATCTTTGACCTTACCCTGACGGTCCACGAAGACCTGTTGACAAACCTTCAATGCTTGCTTGTCGGTTACTCACTACGTTTTTGTCTATCCAGGTTTTTTTAACTGTGTGACCTGCATTTACCCATGTCTCGTCCAAATAATAGATTTTTCTGCTTTGTCGCCTATATTCAATCATTTCGCGTAGGTATTTTCTACGCCAGGCGACTATTTCAGGACTCTCTATCAATACTGACTTCCGATTACGCGTTTCGTAACGAAAATTAATTTCATGCAGGGATTTCCTTCATTACCTCGACGCTCATTTGGGGTATAATTTCATTTTCCTTGATCGCTGCATGTACAGCCTTGAGGGTTGGTATCTCATTCCTAAAGAAGAATGAATGTACGGTTCGCCTTAACGCCATTTTGCTATCGTCATCCAATTTAACGGCCTTTCGTCCCTTCAAATTAAACTTTGGCTCAGTAGTAGCTCCAGTTTTCTACTTTTCATGCACCACCCTGCGAATGGTCCACTCTGGAACGCCTGTCATACTTTCACAACGCGCGAGTGCATCTCCCTGCGACATAGTTCTGTTCAGATAATTGAACACGTTGAGCACGATTTGTTTCGCGTCCCTCTTCAGTGCTTTACGAAGCCGTCTACTTGTTCCCTGGCTTTCAGTACTTCCACTCGTGCCATTTGTACTCTCCATGGTTAAGTATAACCAAAACAGTAACCACAGAAACCACAACAATAACAATCACACAACAATTCTTATAAAAATACACAATATGCGATCGCTCAACGAAACACGTTCCAATGCGTTGCCGACGCCTATGAGTCTGCCGGTCGAGGCGCGTCTTTGATTTCATTGGTTCTACCGGCGGAGAACAATCAGCCATTATTTCCATCTCTGTCTGTGCTGTTGACCACCGCAAAGCCACAGAAACGACATATGTCGTACGCTATACGGCTGTACTGGAAGGAAGCAGGGATCGAGCTCTGATCACGTGTTGATCACGCGTATGAGTCATTACAGTTTTAAATAGTTGTAGTATAGCATACAAATCTGTAGATTTTTTTATTAGATAGGTGTTCACTATTTTTTTTTATATAACCAATCAATAAGATTTCATTTTTTAATCTTTGACTTCAATGCTACCAATAGTAATTTTAAAGCTTACTTTCTCTAGGTGATTCTAGTGTGGTTGGAGGTCAAACTTTCAAAAGTAGATAGGAAAGACGGAAATACATTTAATAGAATGTTAATGGCATTTTTTCTATTGATGTAAGCATCTGATCAATTAACATATTTGTCTGTTTGTAACCTCAGACATGACCCCCAGAATAACTGGCATCACCTACTTGTAGCTGTCCAGATTACTGCTCAATCTTGTTTTTTCAAACTTGTGCCATTTTAGATTGTATTTGATGACCCAGAACTGCTTGATCACAAAAGCACCACAAATGAAATAAAGGAATGTGTAAAAGACATCAAAGTTTTGGGTCGGAAAGACTTAAAAAACCTACTAGCTTGGAGAAAAACTCTTCATGAAGAATATTTAAAAGAACATCCTGAGCTAGAGGAAAAGTCAGAGGAAGTTGAAGAAGACTCCAATACAGTAGATAATAAAGAAGATGATGAGGATGATGATATGAAAAATGTTGACCAAAAAATCTTGGAGTTAGAAGAAGGAGAATTGAGGGATCAGAAAAGAAAGAAGAAAAAATTACAGAAGGAGCGAAAGAGACTTAATGACAGGTTGAATTTGAAAATGGTGCTAAAGAATGATTCCGGCCCAACTATGGAAGGTAAAATTAAGATTGAGAATCATAACACCATATAGGGGGTTGTTTTAGAATATCACATGCAACAGTGACGAAAACGAATAACTCATTTATTTTTTTATGGTCTTAGCTAGATTTTGTTGGCTGCAAGACTGAAGAAGGCTCTTTATGAGTTTTGTGTAACGTTTTGCAAGCAACATTGACAATTTGACATTTGAGAACACCCCCAAAGTATATGTTTTGTACCTTGAGTTTACATTTCTTATACATTTCTCACTATTTTTATATTTTTTATCTAGGAGATGACATGTTTAGTCTAAAGCAAGTGAAAAATGCAAAAAAGATGAAAAAAGTTATTGACCAGACTCCTGATGTTTTGGCTGAATCTGAAGATGATTCTGATTTTGAAAAGAAACCTTTACCTAAGTACGCTAAGTATGAAAAAGGTGAAGGACTTTTAGACAGTTCTGGAATGTATTATAAGGATTCTGATTCTGAACTTGAGATGGAGAGTGAAGAAGAGGATAGTGACATTGAAAAAGAAGGATTAGGTAAGGTTTATTGGCAGATGAAACAAAAATAAATGAGTAGATATTAATTTATTTCTCTTTTTCTAGGTTTTAGTGATGAGGAGCTGGATATCAAGACTTCTAAAAAGACCAAAAAGGATAAGAAGGAGAAGAAATCATTGAAGGATCAAGTAGCAGATCATCCTCTGATCACAGATCTAGATTTTAGAGACAAGGACAAAAAGAAAGCACATAAAGCTGAGTTGTGGTTTGAAAGAGATGCATTCAAAGATCTGGCAAATGATGAAGATGAAGATTTGGACTTTGATAGGATGGTGAAAGAGTATAAAAAGAGGGGAGCAAAGATCATTGGTGAAGAAGACACATCTGAAGATACAAAACAGACAAAAGGAAACCAGAAAAAGGAAACAAAAGGAGAAAAAATTGAGGATGATGATAGTGCTTATGCATCCAAAGTAGAAGATGATGATACTGATACTGACAGTACTGATTCAGATTCTGATTATGATGTTGAAAAGGTGATATCAAAACCTATCAACAATGCAAAAAAAGATGGATTTGAGGTTGTCAAAAATGAAGGTAAGTTGTAAATCGTTCAGAAACAACCATTCTTCTTTGAAGATTAGTTAATAACTTTCAATTGAATGTTCTATTTCTAGGTAAAAAGAGGAAATACAAACTTTCAGTAGAAGAGTTAGCATTAGGTACTGTGATGATAAATAGTAAAAAAGCAAAAAGGGATTTAATAGATGGAGCTTGGAATAGGTACACCTTTAATGATGATCACCTACCTGATTGGTTTGTACAAGATGAACAAAAACACATGAAGAGGGAGGTTCCTGTACCAAAGGTATTGCATTTGTTCTCCAGGGTTTTCAGAAAAACAACTGAATCACATGCAGTCAAGTTCAATTGCACTAGTTGCTTGAGAAGTTTTAGGCTTTTTGTTCACTTCAATCAATTAAAAGAGAGTAATTTTCAGGAACTAGTGGATGATTACAATAAACGACTAGAAGAGATAAATGTTCGTCCAATCAAGAAAGTAATAGAAGCTAAAGCGAGAAAGAAGAAGCGCGCGATCAGGAAGCTGGAGAAGGCAAAGAAGAAAGCAGAAGCTTTGATGGAAAACGTTGATGTCACTGATAAGGAGAAAGCTAGACAAATCAAACAGTAAGCTCAGATCAGAATACGCATAATTATAAAATAGACGGTAAATGCGCGGAGTTGATGATTTGCTGTTGGGGTCCTTGCCATACTACCTTACTTAGGTAAAAGACAGTAAAGTGTGGAAATTGAAGTTGAGGGAAATTGAGTTCAAAATTCTTGAATCTCTCGAACTAAATAAATGGTATTGTTGTCACAGTACAAAAGCATACGAATATTGCAGTATAACTTCATAGAGAGTCATTTAAATGTCAGATCATAACTGTAGTTGAGGCCTAAAATAGATGACATTCCGTCTGTAATTGTGGTAAATCAAAAAGCTATAACTTACGATTTACTGCTATCATACTCTACAAAAACTAATTTACTGCCTTGTTTAGTGTTTATGATCTATTTACATTATTATTTCAAGGGAAAAATGCAGTAATTTAAAATAAGAATTTTATTTTAATATAATTTATCCACATTGAAATGGACAAATAGCACAAAATCTTTTCAAGATTTGATAATTCAGTTTAATAATTATATAATTACATCTAATAATTATATCCAACAATAATAATTATATGAATATTGTATATTGCAAGTTAACACATTGGATGCCCATCAAATTGAGGTGTTTTTCCACCAATACCAACTATCAAATTTCAGTTTACCTGCTCTCAATTGTTATTAAAATCCATATAGAGTATTTTTTTTATAAAATTGGCTAAAATTTTTCACAAATATGTGTTGCGTCGGGGGCACTCAGCAACAATTTTTTGTCCTTAATGCCCACTGACGCACAAATGTCGTCACGTAATACATATATCGGTTTATTTATTTTTTAGAATACAAAAATGAAAATAATATTCTATATAGTATACCAAGCATCAAAATAACTTACAAAGAACAACTAAATCATAACACGACATAAATGAAATAAGAAACTAACTAAACATGCAAAAAGTAAAATAATTTTTCGGACAAAGAAAGTACATTTCATAAGAACAAAGGAAAATTGCTGTCTAAAAGCGTTCTAAATAACGATATTTTATCTACTGTTGTTGATTCCTATGAGATTGTCCAAAACATGATTCGAGACACTCCTAACGCAGTACTCATCTAGGCAATAAAAGCAGTATAGTTTGAAAACTACTGATGTTTTACTTTGAAACTGAAAAAAATAACTATTTTTGTTAAATATCATCTTCAATGATATATTTTGTAATTGTAATCATAAAAGGAATGTGTTGGCGTCAAAATTTGAAAAAAGGCAGCAAATGGATGTTTTTGCCTTTTACCTAATTACAGTGTACAATGACGCTCAACATCATGATCGCAGAGTGAAGCTTCTCATTCACAATCGTTCCATCACACCAAATTTGACGCTACAAGAACGAAAAACTTTTAGGAATCTAGCTATCTGAATCATTCGGCGCAATTTAGTGCCTAATCAAATATGCAGTCAATTTCAGATTGGCTTATCGTCTAGATTTGGAGCAGTTTGGACGGTTTTAACAAAGCAGAGCACCTGATTAATGGTAGTGATGTGAAAAACTGTTTATAAGCCCAGCTACCAGAATGGCGCAGTTTATTGTCTACTCGAATATGCAATCAATTTAAGATAGGCTTCTACGCTATAGTTGGAGTGGTTTGGACGGTTCTAACAAAGCAGAGCACCTGAACAATAGTGCTGCTGCAAGTGTAGGCCTTTGCAGCGCGCGTAACGCTAGGCCAACGCGGATGCTTCTATAATTTCCTCTAGAACATTTCACACAGGCGGGTTTTCCAACACTATTTTAATTATCGTCTTTTTTAGGATGTACAAAAAGGCGAGGCAAGAACCAAAGAAGGAAGTGGCATATGTTGTAGCGAAGAAGCACATGACAGGAAAAAGGATACCAAGGCCAAAGGGCATCAAAGGACATTACAAAGTTGTAGATCCGAGGATGAAGAAAGATGTTAGGGCTCAGAAGAACAAACTGAAGACAATGGGGAGAGGGAAAAAGGGTGCGAAAGGAAAAGGGGCGAAACCCGGGGGGAAAGCGAGGAGACCTAAGGCTCAGGCTAAATGAATTGGTTGATTGTTGAAGTTTTCATTGTGTAAATATTTCTTATACATCCATTCATATGACATTTGCTAATGTATGTTTATTTTTTTTTTCTAATAAACGTTAGATTTCAGAATATGATTTATTACTGACAAAACATATAATATTGAAACATTTTTTAATTACTAATGAATTCTATTTTGCTACGCATTATTTTTTTATTTTACTGGTAGCATACAATACGTTTATTAGAATTTCGGGGCTTGCTCCTGCAATAATCTCTCCAACCTTCATCAAAATCGATGTAGCAGGTACTTCAATCACCGTGTGATGAATGTACAGATACATCCCATATGGTCTGAGTATAAATGACGAAAAAGGCCACAGTTTGGATCCTAGACTTCACAGGAAACAGCTAAATATTATTGTACTTTGTGAGGCAAAATTTTTTGTCTGCCATTCCCACAAGCAAAAAAACGTACTACACTAATATCGCCTGATATTTTATTTCATTTGTAGCTTATATAGAATGGCCTTTAAGTCGTTTGCCATAATTTTCAGTATCTTGTAAAAATCCCGTACAACTTGTTGTAATCTGCTTACTTTTTTTCAGGGTGTCCATCTACTCGTTTTTACTAATCTTTCTTCTTTTTATTCATTACATTTTCCTGAATCGATATTTAATGTATTGTGGGAGGTTAAAGCATCCCCCTCGTTAATTTCTTCAATCGCCGGCACTCGTTTTCAAAAGTTCTGCCTAAGCACCCCTCACCTTTTCAATTTACAATTATCAGTAACATAATGGTGGAACATTTTCATTTATATCAATGACGCCAAAGAAATGCTAGCACGCTACTCATTTTTCCATCCAAAATACTAGATTCCGCTCCTTTTTTCAACTGCCTACTCCATAAAGGGGGGGGGGGGATGATATTCATACAGACTGAGTTTTTAGTGTGGGCTTGATCGATAACTCCGCTATTACGCATGATATCTAAAAGATAATAACAAAAAATGTATCCTATCATATGCTCCTTACTTGGAAAATATTTTTATTTCTACATAGCTACGTGGACACCTAAACGTGCTTTTTGATTCCCTTTTTCAAAGCTTTTTTTCGATAGCAGGTTTCTTGGAGTTTGTATGAATGCTTTTTGTGCTAAGTTCAGCTTTTGTAAATCAGGTAACAAGATAAATGAAAAATATCAGAATACCTTAAACTCACATAAGCATTTGGACACTGCTTTGGAACTATTAAATAGTGATATTTAAAATATTATGAATTGGTTAAATGTCAATAAACCTAAATTAAACACTAATAAAACAAAATGTATATCAATTGGGAAACATTTAGGTGACAATACAATTAGGCTCATTATTAATGAAAAAATTGAAGTAGTTGAGTCATTTAAATATCTTGGTATATACGTAGTCATGCCATAAGTTCTGTCCCTCGTTTTCAAACAAGTGTAGACCTGTTAATACTTGTCCGATTGTTTACATTGTGGTGTCAGTTGATTAAGCGCTTTTCGGGTAATTACATATACCTCAGTTTGTATTGATCTCTCGAAGCATAACGATGGAGTGGGGCAAGGCAGAGAACCGTATTGCAGTGATAGCTTTACATAAGTGTAATCACAGTGCTAGTCAGATTTTTGAACTCTTACGCGGCCTTCAAATATCGCGTAAATTTGTGTCTAGGACCATTCAGCGGTACAATGAGACGTCCTCTGTTGATGACAGGCCAAGAAGCGGAAGACCTCGTCAAGTAAGGACTCCAGCAGCCATCAAAGCCGTAAAAGCCAGGATTCAAAGGAATCCACTCCGGAAGCAGAAGATCCTATCCAGGGAAATGAAGATTCCTGTCCGGACGATGTCGCGCATCATTAAACAAGACCTAGGGCTAGAGGCTTACCGGAGACGTACGGGCCAGCGACTTACGGCCACCTTGCGACACATCAGGGCGACAAGATCCAAGAAGCTCTTGGAGAGGTACGCAGCTGGGGGATTCCGAAAGATTTTGTTCACGGATGAGAAAATCTTCACCATAGAAGAAAAATTCAACCGACAAAATGACAAAGTGTATGCAAGGAGTTCACAGGAAGCTTCGGAGATCATTCCGAGAGTTGAGAGAGGCCACCACCCTGCGTCAGTCATGGTTTGGTGGGGGGTGTCCTACGAAGGGGTCACTCAGCTCCATTTCTGTAAACAGGGCGTGAAAACAAAAGCGGCAAACTATCAGAGCGACATACTGGATCCTATCGTCAAGCCTTTAAGTAGTACATTGTTTGCCAACCAACACTGGGTCTACCAGCAGGATTCCGCCCCCGCTCACAAGGCTAAGAGTACGCAGCGCTGGCTGGAAAGCAATGTGCTAGAGTTCATTGCTGCGGAAGATTGGCCCTCAGGGAGTCCGGACCTCAATCCTTTAGACTACAAGTTGTGGGACCTGCTAGAGCAGTTGGCCTGCTCCAAAGCCCACCGTAATATCGAGTCCCTGAAAGCGGATTTGATCCGATCAGCGGCAGCTATTCCTTTGGAAGCTGTGCGTGCAGTGATAGATGAGTGGCCCGCGAGATTGAAGCAGTGTGTGAAGGCCAAGGGGGGACATTTTGAATAAAACTGTTTGATTATGAATTCTAAAAATGTTGTCGAATAAATAATATCTTTCATATAAATATATCTTATCTTGTTTCATTTTTATCATGGGACAGAACTTATGGCACGACTACGTATATGTGGATAGTAAGCTACTGTTTCATGAATATTATGAATACATTATTTCAAAAATATCGAAAAAGATAAATTATGTACTTCTATACAGTTTCAGATAATCTTAGTATGTATACCAAAAAAAATGTGTATAACACTATAATTCTTCCCCATTTATTATATTGTTCAACCATCTGGTTTACAGCAAATGAAAACATGTTTTCAAAATTACAAATTCTACAAAATAATGCTATGAGAATCATTTTAAATAAAAACAAATATTCCACGATTAAGTCTATTTTAGAAGAATTGCAATGGTTGGATGTGAAAAATTTCATGTATTATTTAGTTCGCGTTTTCATATTCAAATTAAAAATCTTTTATTGCCACCACATTTAGAAAACTTCACAAAATTAAATAGTCATTATCATAACTACGAAACTAGAGGCAGTATAGATTTTCATCTGCAAAATTGTGATTAATAGCATAACTAGTAAATCTATATTTCAAAAGGGATTATTTGAATTTAATAAATTGAATAATGATATTAGACAGAGTTCAAATTTAAAAATGTTTAAAGTGAAATTAAAAAACCACTTTATGAATAATCAAAATACATAGTGACGTAATTTTAATTGTAATAGACAATAATGTAAAATTACAGAAAATGGATTGAGGAATAAATATGTAACAGAATCATTATACAAAATTGACATTGTAGCACTAATGCTAAATAAATCTTCAACAACAACGGTTTTTAATTTGGAAAGTATGCAATACGTTCAAACTTGCATTGGTTGCTTTTTGCTACTAAAACCGCGTTGGGAAGGAAATTATTTGGGTCTATTTCAGTGATGCACTACTTTGTCTACCAGCATTGCGACTAAGCTCTGCGTAAGTATTAATCATATCCGAGTGTCATTAGTTAAAATGTTCATGAATAAGTATAAGTACCTTGAATATTTTACTGATTCTATCAAAGTGGGGCGGAGTGTATCTCTGGCATAACGGCGAACTGTACACAAATACAAACATACAAATGGAAGATTCCCCGCCATTAAAATGTAGTGTACACTACTGGTAAACTATTGGCGCACATACAGGGTGGCACATCGAAAACGAAACTGACGCATTTACTGGCAGCTCAGTTTTTTTTGGAAAAACGCTCAGACCCGTCGATTTTAATTTCGAGGGGGGCACAAGTTTGGCAAAAAATCACGTTAGCACGTGCAGCCCCCTATGCGGGGGTGACACCATCCCCAAAATCTTAAATGGAAAGGGGGGTCTAGTGATACCTTATTTTAAAGGTCTTTCAATTCCCTTTATAATGATATAAAATTAATGTACTTCAGTTCAGTAGTTTTGAAGATTTATTGATTTAAAGCTTAAATAAAACTAATACATCATCATTAGTGGAGATCAATACATATGTCAGCAAAGTAATTTAAAAATGAAGAATGACCTGACCCGTTAGGCAAGTAAATGTTGAAAATGACTCTCCATGCAATAATAAAGATTTTGCTCAAAACATTGCCGCACATTTTGCAATATTTGAGGAGTAATTTGAAGGCACTCATTCACAATTCTTTGTCGCAGGTCTTCTAATGATGTTGGCTGAGTAGCATAGATTTTGCTTTTTAAATGACCCCACCTAAAGAAATCCAAAGGTGATAAATCTGGCGATCTTGGGGGCCATTCAATGGCACCTCTTCTACCAATCCATCGATCTGGAAACGTCTGATCTAAATAATATTGTCGAACACGTAATGCGTAATATGGTGGGGCACCATCCTGTTGGAACATCAACCTATTCGCAATGTACCGCCGATCGTTCTGATTTTCAATTATGGCTGTTAATGCAGAATCTATGGCGTCTCCCAGTAATTCCAAATACACCGGTCAAATTTTCAGGTAAGAAAAAAGGACCAAAAATACCAGCCCAAACATTTAATTTTTGTGGCTGCTGTGTATGAACCTCATGATAAATTCTGGGATTAGAATCGGACCAATATCGGCAGTTATGACGATTTACTACGCCATTTAAGAAAAAGGAACATTCGTCGGAAAAGCAAGTGTTGAATAGAAAATGTTCATCGTTTATAATTCGTTCACTCATATCTTCACAAAATTGTAATCGCCGATCAAAATCGTCTTCATTAAGTTCTTGTACCAGGTGAATTTTATGCGGATGAAAACTATGGGCCTTTAGAATCCGTTGGACAGTACGTCGACTAACACCACACACAATCTCCAATTTATTTGCATAGGATCTACATAAACTTGCCCTAAAACCCCCACTTCTATTGCTTCGTTCCTTATGGGATTTTCAATGTTGTGTTTTTATTGGCGACTGACCCACTTTCCCGAAATTTAGCTACAAGTTCTAGAACATATTTTCGATGCACGTTACTGTTCTCATGTCGCTC